ATCAATCTACGAAGACACATCACGCTTTAGGTAAGAAGCATGCCTGGAAACGGGATCCTTTTCTATACGTCTTGATGTAATGAAACCACCGAGGAATACTAAAATAAACCTTACAAGTCTCTATCAACATACATATAAACAGTACACCACGACGAAGGCGTCGCATAGAAAAAGTTAAATCAAGTGCATGACCGGAAGTCCTGGCATTACACATCTCACCGCTTTACACCCACAACACTTCGGGAAGAGTGCGTGTCTGAGACCTCTGCGGTACATTTTCCTCACAAGCAGGAGGAGGTGCGATTAAATAGAGGCTTAATCAGAAAGCTAGATCCACTGCCATGATTCGCATTAATCCAGCTTTCCTCGCTTGATTAGATGTTGTGACGCTGAAGCGTTTCACTGCAACGAGATCCTCTGTGCACAAACATCTCGGGATTCGGGAGCTACGCGATGATGGAAAGTTCGATACAAGGGCGACGGGAACGGAGGTACCGTACGTCCGTGGACAGCAAAAGCTAGAGCGGACGTCATGGGGGCGGTCATCGGCAGTCCGCAGTCCGCACTCGGGCATGCAGGATAACAGAGTTCAGTGTCCCGGTATTCCGGTCACAGCTGTAGCAGGTCGTGGCGAGTATCAGGCAGTATTCTGTGCGGGTGGCTTGCACACAATACCATACTACAGGCCCGGCGTCGTCCGTGCCGGTATTTCGGTCTATCGTCATCTGCCACCTGCAGGTTCATTTGCCGCCGGTGTGGCGCTGACGTCCTGCCCTGCCTCCGATACCGTTAACGTTCATACGGTGTACAAGGTCTCGAGATCGTCAGGCATACTGTAGCGAGATGTAGCTGAAAGCTTCCATCCTGATCTGCTATCTGAGTAAAGTCATCCATGAAAAGTGAAAACATCCCCACCATCGAGATGAAATGTGAACCCACTGGAACTGAAATTTTGTCGATCCCCAAAGTATCAAAAGGTAAGGAACTGTCTTACACTTCAACCTATAACGATTCTCACTTGGGGCTAATTAGCCCTCACTCTACTCCAGTCTCTTCTCTCATGGATAGATGCAGGGTTATAGGTTCCTCGGATGATGAGCATTCAGGGTAGAGTGTTCAACCAATGAGAAGCACGCGTATACTAAGTGAGCGATTACTAGCCCTCACCTCTTTTTAAAAAAAACCGTTTGTCATATTGGAAAATGAATGAATATATACATACATACATGCAGTGTATTCGGAATCTATACTTGTGTGTGCTTAACAACCAACGAAATTCCACACATGCGAAAGATAGATAAATTCCACTTTCATAGACAAAGAATCACTAAGTTGTACAAATTATTACTAGGAGAAATCAGAGAGTAATGTCCTCAGAGCTGATGAATGTTTTTCATTTACATATACTTTTTTATTAGAAGATATAGTGTTCAATTATTAAAAAAATTAGATATTATATTATAGTATATCGTAAGAGAAACTAATTCCTTACAAGACATTGCTCATGTATTTAAACATGAGCTCATAGATTTCATTGTGTGGTTAGATAACCACACAATAAAAAGTTCTGAGTAACCCAAACCGATCGCTAAAGTTATAAAACAATCTCGTGGGATTTGCTTTTTTTCAAAATAGACTTAGAAGAAACTCTAGTCATACACTACCTTGAACATAATGACTGATTTCTACAGTATTGGACTGCCATCCCAGAGCATCCTGTTTCTTACAATAGAAATCGACCATCTTCAGTTAATTAAAACTTGCCAAAAAGTAAAATACAAAGATGCGTTTTTCTCGTGACAAAGTGCAATTACGAGCAGATACTAGCACCATCATCTATGAACCAAGAACCAAGTTTGAACATATTCGTTAACAAATACAATATATGAAAATGTACTTTTCTACGAGGAAAATGGAAAATTGATATTGAGCGTGACACTTTTAATCACAGCAATCTAGCCACATCTCATTATCATGACAAATATCATCAGCAAGGGAAAAAAAGTCTATTCCTTTTGCTCGTATTTCACAAAATGTTCATGTTTAGCTTATTACGTGCTGCCCTCATCAAGCCCATTTTGCTCCTCTTGCATTGAGTTAATAGACCTACTTGTAGCGAGGTATAAATTTTGAGTCTTTAATTCGACATGACACCGGTAAAATGTAAGTTTGTGAGGGTTATGGAATGAGGCGCCACACATAGAGTCCTCATAAAGAATTAAGTATATAATTTTCAATGTAAAGACGATATACCACTATATATATTCTGGTACCATGAGACAGTTCAAATCAAGAGTGTGAGAAAAGTGCTTGAAGATTTCTATAGATGATAAGGTTTGAACCTGTTTCCCAAAAAGTTTGTGTAGCTTTTACCATGAACTATATATTAGGCCAATGCAGATGTGGCCAGGGTTGTGGCGTTGTGGCAATCATCCTAGGTTAAAGAAAATGGAAATAATTTATACACTTATGTCCAAGTCCTTTTGTTTTTAATGGGGCCCCATGTATCCCCAAGCAGATAAATGGAGAGAAAAGATTAAACTATCGTTTTCTGATCGAAAGTGGATGCACATTGGTTTGTGGAATACTGTACTTGTGTATAGAAATTTATGCACACATTGCTGTAGACTTCTCATGTGACATCTGAAGATAACGCCGTCCCAGCCGTAGCCTGCAGAGATGTCTACGATTGCTGTAGACTTCTCATGTGACATCTGCAGATAACGCCGTCCCAGCCGTAGCCTGTAGACATTTCTACGATCCAACAGTTTCGTCGTGTGCCCTGCCTCGATTTGCCTTCGATAATCTGAACGTGCCAAATTGCTGGAGGATTAAACTATGCTGTTACCTCGCAGTCATGGCTGATATAGATTCTGGACACCAGGTACAGTTGAGACTGGAGGACCTTGGTCACCTCTTAAATGGAAGGAGGCCCAAAAGTAAAGCCTGTGTCTCTGCGGAGGTCAGAAGAGGTGGGAGCCGTAGGGCTCTTCTTTATGAGGGTTGACTGTCGTACTGTTTCCTGATGTGCTTTTCTGCTTTCTTATTCTTCGCTCATATGTGCAGCGCAGTTATGGCGCAAGGACCTGATGCAGTTATGATCCTGTCAGTGATGTTCGTGTGCGTAAACCCCATAGCCGTGATGATTTTGCTGATTGTTTCATGATGGGGCGGATGCCCTGGTTTTCAGGATCGGAGCTCTGTGGTACAACTTGTACCTAATGAGTTATTATCTGCCTCGAAATACCCTCATCGATCTGGATTGTAGCTTGAGTATCGTTACCTTACCCGTGATATTTGACACCATCAAGGTTCAGAGATTAAATTTGTCACGCACAATACTGCCAATTCAAAGCGTCCGTGGCCCGCTCGGTGGTCGAAGAGAGATCAGATCACACCCACTGTGGGAGTACTGCTTCCTTGACACTGGCGAGAAACCGGTTATAAAGGCTTCTTACACGCACGCCATTGTCAGATGCAGTAGTATTAACGAGACAATAGTGGAGTGAGGATCGTCCGCTCTTCTAATTCCAGCTTTGCTCTTGACATATCCGACTCATCATTCGCATCGTGGTCATGGCTACATTAATATATTTGTCATTTTGCAAAGAGCAATGATGTAATCATTTGCATGGCGTTACATGTTGCTTTGGGTTATGCTATTGGAAGTGAGACTGCTATAAACTCCCATATTGTTTTGATTAGTGATCTTTGTAATCGAAGTATGGTTTGGACGCTTACCTATAGTGGACATTAGAGCTACCGTTCCGGAGATATGAATCCATTTATCATGACAAAGTTTTGCTCTTTCTGTTACCGTTGGCCATCGAATTATACAAAGAATCTCCTTCGTGTACCTCTGCAAATGGTTTCCATCAAAAATTTCCCCTGTGTGAGTGAATTCTGCCCTTTGTATCACACAAAGTCGATATCATAATCTTCCTTTCAGGAAGAAGTCCCCTGCAAAGAGTCCATGTTACCTTGATATAAATATATCTTTACGCACCCTTCCAAAGCTGGACCTTTTGAGTAAAACCATAAGAAATGAAACCTTGCCTATGAAGAAATAAGACCTTGGCTATTTCCACAATACAATCCATTGAAATCATTATCTCCTAATATCATATGCTAAGTATAAAGTTTGAACAATGCATACATCATCATAAATTAGGAGAATTGAGTGACTCTCAATGCTATGAGTTAGCTATTAATGAGTGTTTCAATACATAGATTTCTATTCTGATTTTCAAATTAATAAAAGTAGCTTGTGCAACTCAATCTTTTTTTTTCTCAAAACTAGAAATAATTTCAATCTTGTTTGCATTGAGAAAATTCTTCTAAAGGGAGAAAAAAATTCATTTTTACGGGTTTTCATTATTTTGATATCCTCATTATGAGAGGTGGATAGGGGAGAACATTCTACACGCAAATATTGGAAATGAATGAATCCTTAAATACGTAGTATACCAACTCAACTTAAGTTACACGTTTTGTTAAGTATGCAAATCTGTGCGAAATATGCTAGAGTTCAACTTATCCTGCCAAGTGAAAATGACATAACTAAGTTGAAGCAACATAGTAATGGGCAGAATTTTTAAGTTCACAATTAACTTTGTTCCACTTCCCTAGTCAAAGCTGGTCTAATCTCCAGTACTTGGGAGCGTAAATTTTTTTAAGATGAATTTTTTCAATATATCCCATGTATGTGAAATATTTTTCGGGGTGAATATTGAGCTTGAGAATAGTGTACTGTGGATGGCTTTGGTTAACAACAAACCAAATCTCCATTGTACAGGAATAAGAAAAATCCAGCATGACAGTCTATTTACACATGTGACAAAACATTCTCCATGTAGAAGCTGGTGTATGCAGCTCCTGTTCTTAAAATAAACCCTTATCTTGAATCTGACAAAATGGTAGTAAAGTACTGAATATATTGGGCAGATACATACATCCCTGAGAAGTGAAAGAAGTCAAAACATCAACTGATGTGGGATCTTGAATAAGGCACTCGGTGGAGCTGCGTTCATTGGTGAAGGGTAACAAATTTTATATACAAGAATGGAACATGTTATTCATTGTAAGTATACACCTATATCACCAGCCATGATAGTTCAATGTGATGCTTGGGACCTATCTAGTGCCGTTCAGGAGATCGGAATGGATCGAATGTAGAAATCTCAACTAGCAAGGAATGGAGTCTCTGATGCTTTCTGAAGTACCAGACTATATCGATGATAATTTACGGTTACTGTTGTAATCCAATCTACTGTAGTTATCCAATCTATACTTTCAGCAAGCATTGAAATATCGGATCAATAACAAAACACAAAGATGAACAAGAGAAGGCCCTTGGGCACAGAAAGCTACAATACTAAACAGTTTGTGATCTCATCATCAGCGTGATGCTTCAAACTCGAGCGCAGTGCTGCCTGATCCAACTCTAGAAAACTATGAATGGGTTGCTCCCGTACGTGTACTGTACAGAAGGAAAGCTTGTTGAAGAGCACCTCCCACTAGTAAAAATGTTAGCATGCCTGCAACCAGCAAAGGCCCTGAGAAGATTACCACCTAGAATGCGACCTTGTGCACCTCGATCTTGCACAACTGCATTTCACGCTTGAGGATAGACAGCAATTTGTAACACAAGTAATAGAAGAACCAATTCAGAACTGAATATGCTCTACACGGGAGCCAATGATGAGCACTATGATACAGCCAATCTCAGAACCCGACTGTCAAGTACATGCTGTGTTTTCGAAGATTAAGACGCGATATCTTCAGAGCATGGCATGGAAGAGATTGACGCCGCACCGATGGCACAGAAATCGTAGAGGTACAGCATCGAAGTCCGAAATACCCCCGCAGCGAGTATGCTGCCAAACTTCACAAAAATCACACGCGATCATTCTTTCCCCATCGTCGTCTTTAGTTCCACATGGGCAATCCACAATCCAGGAATCGTTCCCTCCTTCATAGCGCCAGTCACTTCGCATATCGATGCCACTTCCATCGACGATAACGGTGGATCCTGATTCAATAGTTCCAAACAGAAGATCTTCATCGTCCCCGTCCAGATGAGGAATAGACTCCACTACAAAGTTCTTCATTATGTGATATGTCTCGCGGAAAGCCCGCTGCGCCTCGGCCTTCAAATCACCAATTGTCGCATGTGGGGGTAACACGACAAGCTCCGCCGGCGGACTCGGTCGGTTCCTCAATGGGACGTCATCCTTCAAGACAACAGTACACATGACTCGCAAATTCTCATCGTCATCCATGTCCCACTCATTGTTGGCACATTTCCGAGTTATCTCGCCTCGGTAGTCCTTGATGAATTGCTTGGTGTCAAGAATGATCCGAGATGCCGTAGGAATGGCAGTAAGGACACTCTTGATGCCTCTCTTTGCAGGCTTGTAGCTCTCCAGAACATGCTTGTAAATGTAGACGATATCCCGCAGAACTTCAGCGCGACCAACCTCGCAGACTGGTTCCGGTTGCCCTCTCTCCCTGGGATTCGAGTTCGCAGCCGAGCCGTTGACATCCTCTAAGCTGTACTCCAGAACTTTAGTGATAGGATTCACAGCTCTCCGCACAACGTGGCCCCCAACAACTCGGTTGCCCAAGGACTTGAGGACAAAGTCTAGGAGACCTGTGTCACCAATGTAAACTCGTGCTGCATCGCGCACGTCCTGTCTCGGCATCCACTTCTTCTCACACCCCTTGAGAGATTCCACAATAACTTGAGTTGCAAGGTCCAAGCGTTTGACAGACCATCGGCAGGGCATGTCGACAGCAGGGTTGTTGCTGATATTGCCGCAAGTATTTTTCTTCTCAAAGTCCTTCGAACTTTTCGAAAAAGTCTTTGAAGTCGGATGGAGAGGAAGTCTTGCCTTCAGCTCCATCATAAAGCGGATCAAATCGCCCACCGTTTGGAGGTTCTGACAACTGATACGCTGATACATCCCCACAATTGCAAGTACATCCTGATCGACACCTTCGAAGTGTGGAGCCATCACGTTCAGTGGCATGCCTCGGATCGCCTCAATTGCTTTGACGTACATCTGTTGGCTTATTCCAAAACTTCCATGTCCGAACTTATATCCCCACCTCCCGTACCAGCATTCTCCGTAGGCAACTGCATGGAGGAGTCGGAACTCGAGAGTTCGCTTCTTAGCCACATCTTCAACACTCACCTTCCTGCAAAATTCCAAAATGAAGCAGCCGGCGAATCAGGACAAGTTGTTTTCTTCCATGCATTAAGGTAAAAATGGTATATTTTAGCGTATCAAATAGCAGATGATTCCCCACAAGGTCCTTTAAACTGCGGCGACAATCGGGCGTATGCTCAAAGCCGGTGGTAAATCAGTCATTTTCAGCTCAGCTCCGTGCAGCCCGACAACCAGAACCACTTCTGACACAATATCCCTCGTTTGACTTGAATTTCTAAGAGTCGTACTATGTAAGGTCTGCTCGAAGACCCAATGTCAAACCTTTCGTTATTTTCATGCCAGCACGTATCTCACGTGACCACGTTGTGCAGGTGCGACTTTGCTAGACTTAGACGACGTAAAATGCTGGTATCAATGTTTTATCAGTTCATCAAGGGTATGATGCATTCGCAATATATTAAGGCGGATAAAAATAATACCTGGCTCTCAGCATGGCACAAATTCGATCCCACAGATCCATGATTTCCCTTCCGGATGCGAGCTTGGATCCTTTTTCTCTTCCATTTATCCGCAGCAAGTGTCCGAACCCGTTCGAGTGAAGCACCCCGTGGAGGAGGTGGCTTTGCAGATCCAGGATGCTCCCGACCACCGCCTCTTCTCCACAAGACGGGCAGCTGAACAGCGTAGGAGGAACGGGATCACTGCACTGTGGGCATACTTTGCCTCCCAGTCCAGCTCCAGTCCATGTCGGGACAGGGCGGTCCTCGAATTCAGGGGCGGGAATGATGAAATGCCAGCGTTTGTTAGAGACGGGATGATGACTCCAACCTGCAACAATTCAGACAGGGAATGAGATAGTCTGAACTGAGGTGCTCAGTAAAGCGTAAGCTTGAACAGAAGTATCCATCGAATGGATGCACGTCCTTTGGTCGATCCGTCGCAGGACTTGAGCACAATTTGGCGAAGAGATAAAAATACACCACGTGCATGCATGACTCGTTTTGGGAAGAGTCTCTCACCAATGCACCGGCAGTGGTCGCAGTGGGGATGCAGAGCATGCATGGAAGCCTCCTCAACAATGAGCAAAGTGCAACGGTCGCCGTGGTTATCAGACTCTTGTAGGGTGATGGTCCACGCCGGCATGCCTTCAATGTGGTAAAGCTCTGGCTCTGCACACTCGTCCAAAAAAACTTTTATGTTCTCTCGGAAAGGGCCATCGAAATCGCCCGGACACCCAGGATCTCCGAAGGTGGTGATCCCGAACATCCTGTCACGAGACCTGCGCTTGCGCGAGCGATCGGCCGAGGGGAACATTTTGAGAGATATCTCTGAACCTCGAACAAATGCTTCTCGTTCTTGTGTTTGTTTGTCTGAGTTTATTTGCGTTTGAACTTAAACAGCCTCGGATTTTGAAGACCCAGGAAACTTAGGGAAGCACCAATCAGATAACACAAGAGACAGAAGGGACTGCCGAAGGCAATTAATTAATTGCTTGCAAACACCACTTCACTCGACAACCCAAATGCTATCGACGCGCAGCTCTCTGATGTGATTGATTCCAGCTCCCTGCCCAGCAAAAATTCCCGAAACTGCACCGAAAGCTGGGGCCCGAGCCGCTAGACAGAACAGTGCGCTCCGCAAGACCCTCGCACACCCTCCCTGTCTCTCCCTCCGTCGGTACGCTCTAGTCTCGACAATTAGCCCTCAAGCTCTCTTCCTGACACCTCCTCCCACAATTTCGGCCACGAAAATACCTCTTCCCACACACTTACTCTCGCTCTCTCTCCCGCTACCCTCGTCGTCTACTGCAGCCCTTCTTCAGCGAGCATAGAGCTGTGGACCAACACGACACGAGCCGCACATGAAGGATGGAGCTCCTTGCTTCCTGACTTCCTTGCTTGGGCCCTCCCTCCCTCCCTGCCACAATCCCTCCCTCCCTCCCCCGCTCACTCTTCTGCTCCCCGCAATGATGCTACGAGAAAAAGCCCCTTAGCCTGCGGCCTAGCTGAAAGATATACTCTCCCTCCCCGTGCAGCGCTCTTTGCAGGGCCCGCCGGGACCAGATCAGACCCGACCCGCTACTCGCGGCCCCCTCCCTTCCATTTACGAAGGCAGTACTTCTCAAGGCTCTCTCTCCCTGCCGCCTCCGGAGTCCCGAGACACCACGAGAGCGAGCCGAGGCTGGGGCTGGGGCTGGGACCGGAGAGCGCAGCGCCGCGCCGCGGACGACGTGGAGCGCGGGGGAAATGCGCGCGGACTCGAGTCCGAGCGCGGCTTAGGAGAAGGCGGCGAGGTGAATCCACTTGCCAGTAGTCCGATTGATTCTGGGATAAAAAAGTTTACTCCGGGAGCAGGCTCCAGCACGTGAAATCAGCCGCATCCATGGTCGTAGGCATGGCGAACCCATGAGGACGCCTCGGCGCCGTCGATCTGGCATCATTTTTACTTCGTGACTCTTGAGTGTCAAACTGACACTAAACTTCTGGAGCAGCTGCCTACTTGGGGTCCCTGCCTGTTGCTAAGGGTGCCGCCAGCTAAGCTGTGCATGGTCGAGTCCCGGCCCTCCCTCCATCTCGGGTAACTTGAGAGTCGGGACGGTTGACGGGACTAGCAGCGGCGTCGTCCCAGTGTATGTCCGGTGCTGGGGCTCGAGGCCGAGGCTTATTCTCATTCCGACGTAGCCAAGTGCGTAGTGGTCCGTATGAATACGGTCACGGTAACAGCATTGCCTCTCGCGAGGGGAGCGAGGGCGGGACATCTTCACCCGAGCGTGGAGTTAGGACTTGGCGAATGCGGGCGCGGGGGTCTGGATCGGACGGCGTGGATCGTCGAGAGCACGCGATCCGCGCTGCTTACGCGCCCTTCGTTTTCAACGGCCTCACGCCGACTCATGCTCGTTCCTCTCTACCATGGGCACCATGCATACCCTCATCTACCCATCGAGGGCTGTGGCCGTGTGGCCATGCCATTCACCCATCCATCATGACTCATACGATGATCATGATACAAACGAAGGTTGGAATTTACCAGATCATCAGCCCGTACAGCTTGTTCGTATAATGAGAGCGCCCCCTCCACGTGTTTTTTTCCCATTCGCCCATCGCGCTTCAACCATTTCAAAGGCGATCCACATAGCCGCGGAACCGATCGCAGCCATTGGGAAGGAGATTAGAGGGAAATTATTCTGTTAGAGATGTCTCTATTAAGTTTGTTATTTTCCACATGGCTGACTCGTATTCGCCAAAGTGTTGCAATTATTACCCCCTAATACCTAAATCAAATTAGCACCAATTTGTAACCTTTCTTCCGTTTGCCCGCCCATCTCCGTCCGTACACGACGACGTGATTCTCCAGCGGCGAACCTCGTCCACCGACGGGCTCCAACCGGTGATTTTGGTTACTCGGCCTATCACCGGAACAGAGCGAAGTCCCTTCATCCTTTGTCTGCACTCCCTTGCGGAGGGAGAGTAGACGGGGAGCGGGCCGCTCCGGCCGTGGCCCTGTCCCATGACTCCTGTCCCTATCCTGGACTCGCAGCTGTTGGTGGCGCTGCATCAGTTAGATGCAGCGGAGGCGGTTGTTGGTGGAACGAAATTCCGTCTCATTAGACGATAGTGGCATGTTACATGCTTTGATGATGCCATACTACAAAGTCGACATTTTACCCGGTGCCCTCCAACGATTAGTCTCGTCAATCAATCTGTGTCACATCAAAACAATCATAGTCACAAGGCTGGATGTTGATGATAACGACCGTCTCCTACTCGTGATCGGATTCCACCTTGTTTTGCTCTCGTTTGGTTCCGGCCCCTCCTGCCTCTCATCACTCGTCGAATGATTTTTCTTTTCACCGCTAGAGTATGCCCTTCGGAATACAAGTATGTTCACTATGGATGAATTTTCTGGGGCATATTCGTGCATGCTCGATAGAAGTAAAATGTAAAATAATTAAGAAGCATAGGTCTTACACAAAAGACTATGCATAAACATGTGTATGAAGATCTTGCTCCAATGCGTAGGAACTGCATTATTTATGGACATTGTCCAACTTAGGAACTAATTTCCAAGGCGAGCGCGTGGAAGGATAGGAAGGAAGTTATGGTGGACAGGTGTTTTGGGATGTGAATTTCTCAAGTTTGTCTCCATGAGTAGGCCCACGTTTGTAGAGGATTAAAGCCCAGACTATATACGTCATATCAAGTCGCTCGCCCCTTCGAGGGCTGTGACAATCATACGCGTATGCATACCTCCTGTAGCAGGCTCTTACTTTCCTCCTGCGTATGGGCCGTGGATCATGAAAGGAGGTGTCGTGCCGCTAATACTGTATGGAGGAAAGTTGCTGCTGCACCTCGTTGTACCTGCGTCAGAATGGCCTGGACCAGTTATGACGACGGATCCACTACTGTATGTACAATTGGCACTAGAATTGCAGGAAGTATTGGGAGCACGGCACTTTTTCCTCACATCCGTCTGTGCCATAAACCCGGCACCTACCATGAATTCTCTAACTTATAAATCTGACTTCGAACTGCGACTGGCGGAGTTAAAGGAGGTTCGCAAGGCTTGCCGAATCTCCATCTGTCGTGCAATCAAAGCTCCCGAGATCGTGAATTGTAAGAAGGTTGCCAAAGGCAAAGGAGCACCGGAGAGAAACTAGCGCAACGGTGGGGAAACCGACCAGGCAGGCAATGGCAGGCATGCGCCCGGAGGGAGGGAGGGAGGGAGGCGGGCGGGCGGGCGGGCGAGGCGGGGAAGGGCCCAACAAAGTTCGAGGGGGACTGATCGGTAGCAGATGTGAGACGTGGTGTATCATCAGGTACATGGCATCTATTGCAGACGGCCGCAGTTGTAGGCACAAGCACTAGAATCGTCCTCCTCCTCGACCTCCTCTTCCTCCAGCTCAGTCGCGCAGCAGCGCCCTTCATTTCATGCTTCCTTGACCTGAGCATCAGTTGTACTGGATCGGGAGCAGTACCTTCCAACTTATTGTACGTAGAGAAACGTTTAGACGAGCATAATAGTGAGAGGCGGACGGATAAAGAAGATTAGACTGAGAGGGGGGTTTTCTATACTGATGACTCTCTCTCCAAACGTCGCTACTTAACAAGATTGTTTTGACGTGTAATTATAGCCCTCGATTATCAGTTAGAGAATGATACTCGACCCATTGTACATACCGAAATGCAACGCCAGCCCGTTGCAGCTTGTGACCCCCGCGACTCAACCGCAGCAACCTGGATCGGAACATCGCAGGAGGCCGTACTCGCCACCAATTCCATCTTGCTCCGAGCTGCCTCTTCTACAATCTGTTCCAGATAGGCCGACAATTGCTGTAAGCCAAATGCAGCACAAAGTCGGTCCCGAATTTGTCTTATTCCTACGTCGCCGTCCCCCTGACGTTTTGTCCACAATCGAATAATAATGGAAGGGAGGAGGAGATGAGAATCCTCGTTCGGAACCCCACTGTTACAGTATACAGTGGTTCGCGCATATGTTGTGTTTTCCGACGAGGAAAGCCCATCAATTATCAACTGTCACAACACATTGCACGTTGCAGCCCCTAATGAAGTCCTCGATCAATGTTTTCTAAATTCGATGGCTCGTGGACAGCCTCAACGTAAGGTTCACCCCTCACTCACGTGAAGTGAAGCTCAGACCGAAATAACGAAGTGCACCCCTGTCACGCTGCTCTATCCACATGAGAATTGGAATGCACTATTTGCGGCTTTTTTGTGGGGGAGTTTAAGAGCGATCCAACCTGAGAGTCAGATTACTCATATCCACATTGTCGCTTCACTTTCATACACCCAAATTACGTGAAACATCACATGCTTAGCGGCAAATGAGACCGCTCCTCATGACAAGAAAAAAAATTCATAATATGGTAAGATATCGGAAATGGATTCGTTCATGGGTTAAATGTTTGGTGATGTAAAACAAAACAAAATACCAAAACCACGTGTATAATCCTGGACATATGAAGATCTCTTATTTCAAAATACATGGAACAACTGAATGCTACTTTCAAGTCGTTTCCATTCGTTACTTCCATGATGCTTCGTTGATCTACGTTTTACTTATGGCTTACACCGCTTCGGAGAGTCAGTCAAGCAAGTGATCCATTCCAGCGATAATCAGGAGGCTGGATCAGTCTTGCATTAGTTATCATCATCTTGCAAGAAATAAGTAAGCACTTTCTTTCTCCACAGAATTCATAGCTTACTTTCTATTCATTTGTCTACCACGTCCTTTTATCTTTCAAGTTTGAAAGTGAATTCAACTTTATCTCTTTTCACGATTGATATCCCCATTGATACCAAAGACATAAAAGCATCTACAAATGACACATCTTGTTTCCCTTCATCAAACATTCATTGTTGTTGGCAGATCAAAAGAAAACTGTATGCTTTATTGAACACAACACTTTTCACATGAGAATAGTTGAGAGTAGACTTACCAGAAAAAGTAAGATGTCTCTTTTGATCATTCTCTTTATGATTGTTTCGCTATTTTTATCCTTCAAGTTCATGCTTCTACAACAAACGGGAAAAGCAAAACCTTCGAACACAAAAAGTGTGCTTTATTAGTATAAAGCACACTTTTTGATTTTGAGGTGATTTTGAGATATATATATATATCAATTTCATTATTATGATGGATCGATTTATAAAATTCACATACTCAAGACCCTTCGTAGGGGGCGAAAAATTATTATACTTATCAACGAAAATTTTTTCTTCTTCTTAGACTTTTAGGTGTGCATGTAAAAGTATGAAATTCTTGTGATTTTTGGGGAGGGAAGACGATCCAAAATTAATAAAATAAAGTACATATATCTCTTTTGTAATTGATCAGTTTTAAGAACTGGATATTGGTCAGAATGAAGAAAAAATATATCCTGTAATCTATGTGCAAGACTATGGTATGATACAATTAAGAAATTGCTTATAATTAATTTTAAAATCATAATTAGAAAATACCTTTTTTATTTCATATAACTATGGTTTACTCACCAGTTCCGGTTCAAAAAGACAGGATTATGTTGAGCATACCAAATGGCATCAAATGCAAGGTCTACCGACTCGATCCATTCAAATCCACATACCAACTTAGAGTGTAAAGGTTTCATAAGAGGGTAGGGTGCTTGGTAGTGCTTTCAAATCTTCCTTTCATATTTAGTGGATGGTTATTAACAGATTGCAACTTCAGGTTGGATAAATTTGTATGCAGTTCAAGATTATAATTTTAAAGTATTTTTCCTTCCATCATCACATATTGAATTGATCTAGAGTTATTTTATAGTTACTAACCTTGCAACGAATATTCTTGAAGACAATGAGATTAGACAACCTAGTGAAAGGAAAAGCAAAACTAAATCTCATAATTGACTTTCTGGCTAATTCCTTGTCAGAGTAATGAAGATTTACAAGAGCTGTTGAGCTGACCATTGAGATGTGATACAATATGCAGATAAACACCTTACTTACAATTTCAGATCAATGAATATGAATATGAATGTTAGTTGCACCTTCAAAGGAAGGTGCCAAATAGCAAAAAATCTGACCAATTTTTTTGTCTTCAAATTAGATTTCATATAGTAAACAATATTTATTATTATTCATCAGACACCAAGTTAATGTTTATGTTTTTCAAAATCTAATTTTATTTATATTTAAAATGAAATTTATCAAAAAGTGGATTGAATCAGACTGAACTAAGAAGGAAGAAATAAGATTCGTAATCTATAGATATTGTTATTTATTTATTTATTTATTTATTTTCCTTAGATGGCCCAATTGTATGAAGGAAACTTCTTTTGACACGAAAAAATGGGTGTTTTCATATCACATTCAGAAGTCAAGATTTTATGAAAGCATTATCAACGTAGTTGATGCAAAAGATTTGATTTGATTGTACTGAAAGTACGGATCCGTTTTGTACTTTGAATCTAATAGGATCATCATTGATTCTTGTAGGAGAATCATTGATCATACTTCACTTTTTTTCCTCTGTCTCCTACTTTTGGTACATAAACCTGATATCATTGTTTAGCTATCCAGTCCAGTTGTTGAAGTTGAAGAATGAAGGTGAGACCAGTTCTTTTGGGTGTCTCCTATTCCATGACAGATCTCTCTGTCTACTTTTCATGTCGAGTCATCTAGGTGGAGAAAAAACGAACTGCAAGTTGACAAATCTCTCCATTTACTTTTCTAGTCGAGTCAGCTAGACATGAAAACTAGATTGGAAGGAAATTGATCGACAAGTTGCTGCTTTTATATTTGAAAATATAATTCTACTCTTATTTATACGAGACTAAAGTCAACGCATACTTTTTGTAATGGGCAAGTTGCGAACTACATGTCTAGACGCTTCTCTTTCAAGAAAAATCAACAATGAAAGTACGTTGAATCAAATGTATTTGTATCAAATCTCTGTCTGCTCGAATTTCCTCGTTTTGTGCAATTGTGAGTGCATAAATATATATTATCAAGTATGTTGAATTTCCTTTTATTTTTCTGCTTTTATCAAATTCATAAGTCTAAATACAATAGAGAATAAGTGATCACCATGTAATTTGAATCAGGTATTTTCTCACACCTTTCTTATCTGTGAGTGTTATAAAATACAGGGACTAGACACTCTGTTTGTCTATTGTATTTCCATATGTCTTTAGTAGGGGACAGAGAAGAAATCCCAAAGAGTCGTCAACTCTTTGTGATATCTCATCTGTCCCCCACTGAAAATCTAGAAGGATTTAAAAAAAAAACCACCTTTCGACCTGGGAACGAAGATTATGCAGAACTCATATCTGCGTATATGTTGCACAAAACCACGGGTCACAATGGTAGAATCCGCAAGTCAGTAGAGTCTTCCACGAATGCACTCTTTTTTAATTTTGGCAGCACCTGTTGGGGCCGTTCCGAAGAGCAGAAGATATATGCTCTATTGATCTCTCTCTAGTCATCAATCGTGCCGACTTGGCATCGAATATAATATAGAATGATAGTAAAATGCCCGAATTCTAGTTTTAGAGTTGAGCAGTTCCGGAAGAGAAACAGCATTTGTTGTCATCACAAACCGCAATTCAGTCTCATGTACATACGAGCATGAAAGATGTGATCGTGCGTGCTCTAGAAACTAAAGTCTAAAGTCTAAAGTCCCAAGGAACATAGCTCGAGCATGTTGTGGTCATTGACGTTATTATAGATGTACAATTGAACTTGATGCGGTAGTTACTTGGTTCCTTGGAGGCAACTGCATACAAAAACCTAGGTTGGCATATGCGACCTATGGCGAAAGAAGATGTTCCTCCCGTCATGCAGCGAGCGAGCCAGCCAGCCGGGGCCGGCGATGTTCTGCAAATTATGACGAACTCTCCCCCATATCGGCATTCCGTAATCCTTGGCAACCTTTTTCGTGCACTCTGATTCTCCTTCATAATCGCAACTGAGCAACTTCCTACTTCCACAGAGAACCTGAAGAACGATGCCCTCGAGGATCGGTGGAAGAGAGTAAGCTACGTACATTCTAATGTCGAGGCACGTAAACACTCCTTCCTCCTTTACAGGGAATCCCGATTAACTGAACGGTGATTATCAAAAGAAAATCTAGTCTTATTAAATCCGCTTTACGTGAGAGACGTTCGGAACGTCCGTTTTGAATCAGGCACAATACAAGCGTTTCAAAATATGAGATCTGGACTTTTCACCTGTGGGGTGAATTCGTTTGAAAAATCTGTAAACCTTTCACCTCGTTTTCAATTTCCTCACTAAAGACCTTACTAATGACTAAGTAAGTGGCCGGGCTCCATCTATCTGGCGAAAGACTTCCTCGGTACTTTCTTGAGAACGACTTTAGCCGTCTCGGCTCCGAATCCGGCCCTCGGCGAAGGACGTGACGGTCGCAAACGGAGCGTACATACGAGCTTACGTACCCTAGGTCCACACCCTGGGACAGACAGCTGCTCTACACGAACCGGAGGGCAGTACCGCAACTGCAAAGCGCCGCTCTGTCTGACGGCGGTGTAGACCTCGAGACATACGTCGACGGCTTTCCGTAGGCTCGTGCGGTAGTGGGTAAGCAAGCAAGCGCCCGCCCGCCCCCCGCCCCCCGCCCGCCCGGCGTCGACTGGCGCTGTGCGGATTCAAACGAAGGACACGTCGAGGGAATTTGGGTTTGGCTCGCAACGGTTGCTAATACCAGCGCTCCGGAGCAAATTGTACAAGCAGTACCCGAATTCGTGCAAGGAAGGAGGAAGGGACGGGACGAACTGTCAGGAGACTTGCCTTCCTTTTTCCTTCATGACAATACAATATTTCGAGTGTTGCCGACGGTGTGTGAGCGCTTGTGTAGTGGGATCGGCGGCTGATTGAGGGGAGGCTGGGTCACGAGGTTTGGCTACTTGACTTCAAGCGAGTGTAATAGTCGGTACAATGCTCGCTCGGCTACTTCTGCCGTCGGGGGAGGAGAATGGTTCCAGTGAATGATAGTGTTATTGTAGCCTCGTTGAATGCCGTTATGTCATGCCAGAATGCTGCCCATGGTACACTTCGGGATCTACTCCAGGTGTCCTTGGATCAGCCCTCTATTCTCGCACCTTATATGAGCGATTTTGCATGAGAAATCGAACCCAATGCATCATTTGGTCTTATGGATCAGTTGGGATTCCCGTCATATTTTGCAGAATGTATGACATTGTATCAGGTACGAGTGGGCTACGAAACTAACACTCGCTACCAGAAGACAGTCCCTCCCTCCAAGAAGCTCAAACCGTAGTTGTTGAAAGCCGCGCGCGGAACCTAATCCTCAAATAAAATACAATGGAATCAAAACGACGCCTCTCAGCTCAACATTTTTTTGGGTGTACGGGCTCGTTTACAATTGCTTCTGCATTATCGATAACCCAACCGTCCAACTCTACTGGAGGTCTATCACCAATGAGGACATCTAGCTGGGGGACTGCACAAACTGCAAGCACTTCCATCAATCTAAAACGGATATAAAATGTTCGTGAAACTGAAACCATAATGTGATATCAGACTCACATCACTGTGTATCCATCTAAATAGACACTGGTATAAGGGTATTGATGTTTGAAGTCGGAATGAAACCTCATGTCGAAACCCAGACTCCGAGTCAAACGGATTTCGCTGCAGTTGACTGAAAACTTGTGTTTGGGTGTTCTAATCCGTTGCCGTTTTCGTGGCCTGTCTACCCAAGGAGATAGAACTGAAATTCGTCCCACATGAGGGTGAGCCTATATTATCTGCTAAAATTAACTTTGCCACATGAACATTTCAGATCCTGTTTTCTGTTCGTAAATCCCGTAGAATCGGAAATCCGAATTCTGTCTTTCTGAGCTTGACAGAAAACCAACTAATGACGAAGTTATGGCATAGCTAGAACATACATGTAGTTGCACACAATCCCCATTGCAGGCGCAGACATAGCTACAGCCATGCAGACGGGGTCGCATGATATCGAATCATTGACAAACAACTCCAAGATGCTACTGTAAATGAGAAACACAACCGTCCTGTGCATAGAGAGAAGACTGACTATACTTGTCTGGTCGAATCAGAAAGTTTAGTTTGTTGGTTTGGTTTTGCTTCATTTAAACTGTTATGTTTTGACATGCTCTCCTTCGGAAAATTTGCCTTAGTACGTGTGATATTGTCATCACATTTGGTCCGAGAAGCTCGGCCAAGTGTGTAGTAACTCAGTGCTTGGGACTCGCAGCTTGAATCCAATCACTGAAAAAAGAGAAAGAGGTTTTTGCTCGAGAAAGTTTGGGAGAGTTTTTGCATGAGAAATCGAACCCAAAACTTTTGCTTCCAGGGAAAGTTTCTCAAGCTGAAGGGAAGTTTGAGTTCAACTACTTACACATAATTCTGCTCGATTATCGTGTTCCCTGATCACTTGTACCCCCTGTGACGTGCTGTAGAGTTAGTGGGACATGCTTGTCTCCCATGTCTGATACATCTACAACTCATTCAAAAGGCATTCCAGAGAAAGAGCAGAGCCTTTCCAGTAAATCATAGGGGAGGTTGCCACAATAGACGACAAGGAAACTTACGTTAGTTCATAAGCGGACAGAGATCTGATTCCAGCGTCATGCTGTTTCCACCCCAGCTGCAGAAGGTACGAACAATCAAATACCAATGAGTTTCTGCCGAGCGGCGTGACTTCCGACATGTCTCGTAGTCGGAAGTAATGCAAGGTCTAAGATGACACCTACATGTTCTCACGTTCACGTCGGAGGGCAAAATTTGATGAGCTCAACGAATAACTGTATTGTAATCGAAACATATCCACAATCCTACTTACTCCATTTGGACGAAATGCTGTGAGTACGTCATCACCACGCCTCCCCTTCTTCGACTGTACCATGAAACGATAACGGCCGAGCAAGACAAGCGTTCCCCGATCGTACTTCTGAACCATCATCGGGTACAACCGCTTCGTTGCCAATGACAGAATTCGAGTGCAGACGCTTGGGGACTTCCGCAAACGACCTCCTACTATGTGATTAACTGCACCCTGATCTTAACCATGGGTCAAACGTCTAAACCATGGGCAATGGAACGGAACCTTCCACTCGGACTGGGGTCAGAGAACTGCACTTGCCTTGACCACTCTTTTCAACTACAGAGATAATATTCAGGAGTACTTTCAACTCCTGCAGATGTCAGTCTTGGAAGTATCCTGTCCCTTTGTCCGCAAGGATTTTTGTGGGGATCAGTAAATAGCGAGATGTATGTAAGTTGCACCTGATTATACTTCCGGATATGCCGTTACTGTGTAGTGTACTCGTAAAACGTTAAATACAAAACTGCGCAAGTAACTCTGTTTGCTATAGATCCATGTGTATTAGCAGCATTATTTTATGCACATGGAACTGTATCATAACTAAAATCATCGCTAAGTTTGGATGTCCACGTTTTGGGTTTGGCGACAGAAACTGCTGTATTGCAAAAGCCATCATTATGTAAAATGTAATCCTCCTGTCTATGGAGGGCAATATAGTATTACCATACAAGTTTCCGTATTTTCCAAAGCACCGATGCTCACATCGGTGCTTTGGAAAATACCATAAGTGAATAGAGTATAAAGAAAAAAATTACACAAGGTTTTCGTATAAATTTACCTTGTGTCACCATATTACCCTACCTGACTATTGTGAAATACCTTGAAGACTTATGAGTCAAAGAGAAGAAATCGAGACCCTGATTTCTTGCTGCTGTGGTGGATACGACTGACATACCATGCACAGAAGTATAAGCTTGATCTGCACTGTAGTTTTTGCAGGTTCGATAACATTGATTTTTCAAAGCCTAAACGTCAGTTCTTTCGGCTCGTAAAATTCTTCTGCACACAAACCGTCGGTGGAAGTCGACAGTCGACAGAGGTGGATGCGAGGACGTACTTTTAGTGGACTAATGTGGCAATGCCGATATTCTGCGCACAGTGGATCACCACTTTACTGAACATGGAGTGAGAATTGAAGTGTATGTGTTCAGTGTCTCGAGGTGGAACATCTCCAGGTTTAGTACTTTGTCAGTGGGAACCTTCTGTACACAGGCGATGAAACCCTTCAGAGGCCGTATATCATTTTCTTTATTTGGGGATATCATTGAATAATATCATGTACCGTATCTCGGAACAGACACATGACGCAGGCAGTTCGGATATGTTGTCTAGCCTCATATACGGAGGAAGTAATTGAGATTTCAACTAATTTATGACGCAGGCAACGTTAATTCCCTCATGTGGAGCCACTGTGGACATGATTCTGAGTACTGCTCCAATGTATCTATGTATGATTCCTCCGATTTCTAAATGCAGGCGGTTAATATTAGGATATCTCTACATCTTCCCGTACAGTACTAGAAGTCCGATAATACCGTAAGGATCTCGTTCTGACGTCTGACGTCATTCTAGCACACTCTGCTCTTCATAGGTACGGCTGATCGACCACTGCTCATTGCACATATTGCTTCATTTAGATTTCCCTCTTCATCTGCGTGTTTCTCCACATTGTGCGATCAAATGAACTCAGATGTCGGTGTAAATAAGCACTAGATTTATGAGCTATTTCCAAGAGAATAAAATCTGGGTTTTCTGCGGTCAACTTTGGCTCAAGCCTTGTGGTCGATATAGTACTCGGGTAGTATGTACAGAATTTTATATACGGTGGGTATGTTTTGGAAGGGGCTAGTTATCACTCACTTAGGGCTAAGCGTACTTCACCCTAGTATACAGTTTTATCTGATGGTTCGAATACCCTATAATTCCTACTGCATCCCTATTAACTTACATCGGTCAATAAAAAAATTGCATATATTACATCTACCAATAAGAGAACTACGTATACTAGAGTGAAGGCTAAATAGCTAGCCGCCCCATGTTTTCTGGACACATGTATGACTTCAACGCATCTCCTTATGAGGTGAAACCACTATGTTTTTTACTGGTTGTATCTTCTGCTCAAATATGACAATCGCTTGTGATCACAACTTGTATATGAAACGTAAACGCCTAGATAGAAAATTAACTTAAAAAAAACTCCTCAGAAACGGAACATATGGCCGAGGCAAAAAGTGCGACAAGAGCACCGCCCTACCGCACCACGAAACCCCGATGCTAATTTTCTCTTGATAATTGTCTAACGTCATCTCTTGCATCTCTTATATATCTCTTGAATCCTAAAAGTAAGATCTGGTGTCAATGAATGTTCTCCCAGAGTCGTCCGTTACCATAAAAAAATCTCTCAATCTGTAGGAGATGTCAATTCAGTCGATGATCATGGAAAATCCCATATCCTACTTCAGAAGGTTACATATAGTTATGTCTCTCCTGTAATGTTGTAAACATGTGGGATTTGTTAAAAGGACTGCTTTTCACAACTGATTTGGAAATGTCTATCAAAAAATTGTCTTGGTGGTTGGATTCAAGACCAGTAACACATTGTGCTTTAAAAGACATGCATGCATGGAATTGTACTCTTACGTTTTTCAACATTAAAGCATGTGAGAGCTCTCTATTTAGTCCACTTTCAGAGCTAAAGATCTGATTGTTAATAAAATAATTGATGGTTTAATGAGTAAAATATTTTTACTTATTTGGCGGAAATTTTTTTACCTTAACATAATTTGTTTTGAGGTTTTAATGTATACTCAACAAGAAGGCTACATATATCCACAAGATTTTTGTATGAATTACAACATCTCACATGGCAGCTAACATATTTAAAAACCTCGCTATTCCATCGCATCTCATCATTTCCGATCCAAAAATAACATTTAAATCTGTAACGTACTTTTCCTTTATGGGATGTGAAAATTTTAAGGCAAAACCTTTTGCTGTAAGTTTTGACTCTAATGTTAATATTTCAAGTGATAATAATGAATTTTGTTTCCAAAATATATGCCATGCGGTGATTCTCTTTTATCTAGCATGATAGCAAACATCTTAGCGTATATTTTCCAAAACATCATAGAATTTTCTTCCTCATTTAGAAAGAACTATCAAATACATTATTGTTAATTGGCACTTCTAATATTATCACAACTGAAACATCTCTAATTAGGTTAATTGTGAAAAATATGTAATATGCACTTTTAAATAAAAAATTGCACAAAGATGGAAAAAAATTCATTTGAAAATTCAGGAATCAAAAAATTTCAATATATTCATTTAAATTTTCATGAAATTTATCTATCTTGAAGATGTAAATATACTTGAGCAAGGAAATTATTTCATACAAAGTTCACATTATTAATGAAGATATTTTAAAAATATCAATCTATGATGTCATTCATGTGTGAAAAATATGCTTATTGATTAAAATATAAACACAAACTATGTACTATATAACTATGTATAACTTATCAAATCTAAATTTTTGTTGTGAAAATTTTTATCAATATCAAATTTTCTTATTTTATTTACATCATAAACTACTCAATAGAAGGTAAAAATTATATTTCATTTTTCTTTATTTTAATTTAATTTCATTTAGTTACCTCGGATGAAAATGTTTACAAATGGATGATTTTCTTCATTTGATATTGAGATTGTAGCAAATTTTCACAAGCAAAAAATAAAAAAACATGAGTAACACCCTTACACACCAAAATGATGGCACATTCAAACGTTGACATTGAACTACGTGATTAGCCATCTCGAGCAACATTCACGGGAACAGAAAAAAGTTTTACTAATAAAAATCCTAAAGTGTTCATCATATACTTATCCTAGCTCTTCTTTGTAATGAAAGCAAAATCTAAATCCTAACTAGTCTCACTAATCTCAGTTAATGTAGTCCTAAGTTAATTACAAACAATCTTATCCTTAACTTATTGTGTGAATAATAATCTCAACAACCTTTATAATTACTTCAAAAAAAGTTTCAGAAAAAAACTTAAGATAGATCCATCATTAAATTAGAACTAACTAGAACAATCGTATCAACAACACGATAGAGTTAAAATATATACATACGTAATGAAATTATTGGCAATCTCTACCTGTATGTAAAATGCAAAATTTAATGCACTATTATCACTTGTGCTCCTCATGCAAAAATAGCTAAGTAGCACAATGAATTTAAAAACTCCTCAAAGCAATAATTTTGAACAACACATCAAATGAATTGAATTTTCTATTAGTCTTTATTAGCTCAATACTTTCATCAAGTTTACTTTTCTGATAAAATGATGCTTGATTTCAATGTGTTTCACTCTCCTGTCCATCATTTCATTTGTAACAAAATGTAATGCACTCTTTTTACAATGAAGAGTAACAACCTTTTTGTTTCAGTTACATCAATAACCTTATTCAACTAATAAGTTACTTTGTTGATTTTATTGTTGCTTTGTATTAAGATTCCGTTGTAAACTGAACTACAAATTTTTGCAAAGTAGGTTTTTAACTAATATATCCATTAGCAAATGTATACATTCATAATTTTGTAAAATATTTTGTTCCAGAATTTGCCAAGCAAAAATTTGATATTTTCAAATAAGTCATCCAATAAAATACTTTAATTTTTAGAATTGTTTGGATACCTCAAAAACCATTTCATTCAATACAATTATCTTAAATTTAACATTTAATTACTTAGTATATCTAAAACAATATCAGATCTTGCGCTTATTATCAAATAAATGAAGTTATTCATAAATTTGTCATAGCAGATTAATGAAATCTTTTTTGTTTCATGACATCAATTACAAATTGAGTTATAAAAATTTTGAAATGTGTTGTCAAAAAGTTCATAATATTTTAAAGTCTTACATGTTATATCTTTCAAACTTGATTCAACTCAATCATAGTTTTTTTTACTCCAAATTTTCATAAAAATTCATCATCATTGTTTCCTAGTACTTATCTAAATTTTCATCTTAAATGCACAATTCAGTTTATTTTTGCATCTATCAGTT